ACATTTGTTATATCTTCCCATTTACATAGCATTACTTAATATTATTTAAATATTCCTGCTTACATTTTTAGATGCTCTTTTCTGACAACAACAGCACTGAATATACTTGATTCTCTTTGTTTATGAGGGGCTTGGGGAGCTATGTTTACAGTGATTTACTCTAAGAGATCTGTCAGCACACTACAGGGTCTTAAACACAGTTGTAAACTAGATTTGAACACTGTCTGTCCTAACAAAGGTTTAACAATTTAGAATCTAGGCTTTTGCATTGTATTATAACCACTTTACCCCTACCCAATAGCAGTTTTACTGCTACGGGGCAGCTCTCCTGTGCAGAATCACATATATATATGTGTGTATGTGTGCTTTCACACTTCTGTTTCACGGGGCAAGCGTGTGCTGCTGGCGTATCGCTTCTGCTGTGAATTGTCATAGCAGAAGCCTATCTGCGAGTCCCAGCGAACAAAGGTTTGCTGGCACCCACAGATTGCCCACAGATTGAAAAGGAGGGAGTGATCAATCATGTGTCTGCAGAGCTGTGAACAGGATCCATCACTTCCTCTTGTACAAGCACCATCTAGTGTACACCAAGCACATAGCTAGGCACATACTTAACCCTTTGATCACCCTAGATGTTAACCCCTTTCCCACCAGTGTCAGTACTGTAATCCAGTGTATATTTTTAGCACTGATCATTGTAGTATTAGTGTCACTGATTCCCAGAAAGTGTCAGTGTAAAAATGTGTGCCGCAATATCGCAGTCCCACGATAAGTCGCTGATCACTGCCATTACTAGTAAACAATTCCACTATATGTCCCATTGTTTGTAGATGCTATAATTTTTACGCAAATTAATATACTTTTTTTTTTTACCAAAAATATGTAGCAGAATATATTTATGAACAAATTAGATTTTTTAGATTTTTTTTTATTGGATATGTTTTATAGTAGAAAATAAATACTGTTTTTTTTTTTCAAAATTGTCGCTTTTTTTTGTTTATAACAAAAAGTAAAAACTGCAGAAGTGCTCAAATACACCAAAAAAAAGCGCTTTATGGGGGAAAAAAGGATATTAACTTCATTTGGGTGCAGCGGCGCAAGACCGCGTAATTGTCAGTTAAAGTAATGCATCGCTGTATCGCAAAAAATAGCCTGGTCAGGAGGGGGGGGGGGGGGAATATTTTGGAAGTGGTTGATAGAAAGGAGCTGAGCCTGCCTTTAACCTTTTTATTGGGACAGACTTGCTCTGATATTGTTCATAAATGCTTGTAGTCTGCCATTATACTCTCAACTAAGAAACCGGTAAAAAAAAAAAAACAGGAAAGAATATTTTATTTGAGGTATTCTGTGTGAATGGGGACACATACTGTACTTACTTGGTGCAACTTAACACATCCAAGTGAAAGATGTAACACCAACATGTCAGAAAAAAATAAAAGAATTCAAAAACAGAATCACGGAGTTGGAAAAAGGATCACCCTCCTCCTAAAAATGACTTGCAAACTCAATCAGGTGTAGCTAATCACCTTCTCAATGGCACACAAAGCCATTTGACTTTCAACTGTGATAAGCTGTTGTCATTTTGATTACTTCAGCATGAAAAGAGCTTTTCTTGAGCATTTCAGTCCCTGCTAGTGCAGCTGAAGCAAACAATCAACTATGGGTGGCAAGGCACTGTCAGACGATCTCTGTTATATAAAGTTACAGACAGGCCCAAGCCAGGAGATGAATACAAACAAAAAAATCAAAGGCTTTATCAATGTTTAGAACAGCTGTTCTCAACCTTTTCGCAGGATCCCTTGAAATATCCAGTCTCAGGGAACCCCTGCTAAAAAATACTATGTACTATGATACATGAGTGCGATGGTCAGTGGGAAGAATGCTCTTTATAATTGCATTCACTGGGAAGAATTCCCTTTAAAAATCGCTAAAAAGATCAGTGGTGTCAGTGGGAAAATATCTGAGAAGCAGAAATTGCTCATTGCTCAAGGAACCCCTAGCAACCTCTGGAGGAACCCTGATTGAGAAACCCTGGCATAGTACAGTGAAGTCTATTATTAAGAAGTGGAAGGTATATTATACAACACAGACCCTCTCTGGATTAGGACATTGCTCCAAACTGGATGAAAGAGCCAGGAGGAAACTGGTCAGAGAGGCTACCAAGATGCAGCTCTGAAGGAGTTGCGGGAATTTATGACAAAGAGTGATTTGTGTGCATGTGATAACAATATCACAAATTCTCCATAAATGTGACTTGTATGGGAGGGTTGCAAGAAAAAAAAACACTCTTCGAATAATATGTCTGATGGAAATCCAATCCAGCTCACCATCCAAAGAACACCATTCCTACAGTAAAGCATGGAGGTGGTAATATCCTGTTATGGGGGGTTTCTCTGCAGCAGGGACTGGAGCACTTGTCAGGATAGAAGGAAAAAATGGATGGGGCACAATACCACCAAAATTCTTGAGGAAAATCTGTTGTCCTCTGCCAGAAAGTTTTCAGTGGGAAGAAGGTTTACCTTTCAACATGACAATGACCCAAAGCTCACAGCAAAAATGAGCACACAGTGGTTGAAGGAGAAAAATGTGAATGTCCTTGCATGGCCTAGTCATACCTCAGACCTAAACCCCACTGAAAATCTGTGGAATGATTTGAAGGCTGCAGTCCACAGATGGTCACCATCACATTTAGCTGAACTTTGGCAGCTCTGCAAAGAAGAGTGGGCTAAGTGGGGAAATACCAGTTTAATTTAATCTTTAGGTACGGTTGTGCTCAAAAGTTTGTATACCCTGGCAGAAATCACGAAATGGTGCATTGATATTGAAAATATGACTGATCATGCCAAATAATGGTCCTTTTATTTGATAGTGATCATATGAAACCATGTATTATTACATAGTTGTTTGACTCCTTTTTAAATCATAATGATAACAGAAATTGCCCAAATGACCCTGATCAAAAGTGTACATACCTTGGAATGTTTGGCCTTGGTAAAGACATACGGTGACACACTCGGTTTAAAATGGCATTTAAAGTTTAATTTCCCACATCTGTGGCTTTCTGAATTGCAATTAGTTTCTGTATATAAATAGTCAATGAGTTTGTTAGCTCTCATGTGGATACACTAAGTAAGCTAGATACTGAGCCATGGGGAGCAGAAAAGAATGATCAAAAAACTTGCGTAACAAGGTAATGGAACTTTATAAAGATGAAAAGGATATAAAAAGATATCCAAAGCCTTGAATATGCCATTCAAGACTGTTCAATCACTTATTAAGAAGTGGAAAATTTGGGGATCTCTTGATACCAAGCCAATGTCAGGTAGACCGAGAAAGATTGCAGCCACAACTGCCAGAAGAATTGTTCAGGACACAAAAAAACTTAGGTAACCTCAGGAGAAATACAGGCTGCTCTGGAAAAAGACAATGCTGTTGTTTCGAGCACAATACAATACTTTAGCAAAAAATGAACTACATCGTCGCATTGCCAAAAAGAAGCTTTTACTGCACCAATGTCACAAAAAAAAGCCCAATTATAATATACCCAACAACGCCTTGACACACCTCATAGCTGGCACACTGTAATCTGGAGTGACGAGACAAAAATAGAGATTTATTGTCATAACCATAGCCGCTATGTTTGGAGAGGGGTCAACAAAGCCTATAGCAACAAGAATACCATCCCCACTGTGAAGCATGGTGGTGGCACACTGACATTTTGGAAGTGTGTGAGCTCTAAAGGCACAAGAAATCTTGTAAAAAAAAATTGATGGCAAGGTGAATGCAGCATGCCATCAGAAAATACTGGCAGACAATTTGCATTCTTCTGAAGGAAAGCTGCGCATGGGACTCTCTTGTCATTGAGCCACTCTGGGGAGATCTTAAACATGCTCTTCATGCAAGATGACCAAAGATTTGCATGACCTGAAGGCATTTTTCCAAGGCAAATGGGCAGCTTTACCACCTGCAAGAATTCGAGACCTCACAGACAACTATTTCAAAAGACTGCACGCTGCCATTGATGCAAAAGGGGGCAATACACAGTATTAAGATCTACGGGGATGCAGACTTTTGGAAAGGGGTCATTTCATTTGTTTACTTGTTGCCATGTTTTGTTTTTATGATTGTGCCATTCTGTTATGAATATGAATCCCATGAGAAATAAAAGAAATGTGTTTTGCCTGCTCACTCATCTTTTCTGTAAAAAATGGTCCATACTATTTATTTCAGGTACTTATATACTTTCAGTTTACACAGCGCTTTACATATATTGTACATTCACATCAGTCCCTAACCCTCAAGGAGTGTACAATCTAAGGGCCCTAACTCACATTCATACATTCACATACTAGGGCCAATTTAGACAGGATCCAATTAACCTACCAGCATGTCTTTGGAGTGTGGGAGGAAACTAGAGTACCTGGAGGAAACCCTTGCAGTCACAGGAAGAACATGCAAACTCCAGGCAGGTTGTGCCATGGTTGGGATTTGAACCAGTGACCCTAGTACTGCCAGGTGGAAGTGCTAACCAGTAAGCCACTGTGCTGCCCACTATTACCAGTTCTCCAAGGATATGCAAACTTTTGAGCACAACTGTACACATACAGATCAGCCATAACATTATGACCACTGATAGGTAAAGTGAAGAAGATTATCTTGTTACATTGGCATCTGAAAGTGGGTGGGGATTTTCAGCAACAAGTGAAAATGCTGTCCCTACAGTTGACGAGTTGAAAGTAGAAAAAAATGGGCAAGCGTAAGGATTGAGTGACCTTGACAAGGGCCATATTGTAATGGCTAGATGACTGGGTCAGAGCATCTCCAAAACTGCAGCTCTTGTGGGATGTTCCCGATCTGCAGGACTGACCAAAAGTGGGCCAAGGAAGGAAAATCAGCGTCAGGGTCCCGGATGGCTATAGCTCATTTACCGCCTCCTGCCCACTATGTAAGGAAATGTCGGACAGGCAGTGGTTCTCTCGTTCTGGGAGGACATCATATGATGTCCTCCCACTCTAACCGTGTGTGCACCCGCCCAGGGGTGCGCAGCATGGCGATTGGTGGTGCGCTTTGTCCCTTGGACACAGCGGATCACCGATCGGCAGAAAGAGCCAATGACGTCGGCTCTGTCATGTGATCAGCTGTGTCCAATCACAGCTGATCGCATGAAAATAAGGAAATGCTGGCAGCTCGTGAGGAGAGGAGAGCCGGTAATCAGCATTCCTCAGAGGGGACATCTATACACTGATGATCAGTGTAGCCCCATCAGTGCCACCTGTCAAGTGTCCATCAGTGCACATCAATGCCACATATCAGTGCCCATCTCAGCTGCCTTTCAGTGCCAACTATCAGTGCAGTCAGTGCCACCTATCAGTGCCATATATGAGTACTGCCTTTCAATGCCCACCAGTGATGCCTGTCAATGCCCATCAGTGCAGCCTATCAGTGCCCATCACTGCAGCCTCATTAGCGCACATCAGTGAAGGACAAAAATTACTAATTTACAAAATTTTATAACAGGATCTAAGAAAAAATTTTCAGTTTTTGGTTTGTTTAGCAAAAAATAAAAAACCCAGTGTTGATTAAATACCACCAAAAGAAAGCTCTATCTGTCTCAAAAAAATTATAAAAAAGTCATATGAGTGCAATGTTGCATGACCACACAATTGTCATTCAAAGTGCAACAGTGCAGAAAGCTGAAACTTGGCCTGGGCAGGAAGGGGGAGAAAGTGCCCTGTAGGCAAGTGGTCAATGCTTGTGATGAGCAAAGGCCGGTCCTGTGTAGTCCAGTCCAACAGAAGACCTATTGTAACTCAAATTGCTGAAAAGTTCAAGAGTAAATAAAGGCAAAACATTTTTTTTTTTTTTTAGTTTTGGATAGAGTGGAAAGGGATTAGAACACCTGTTGGGTCTGCAGTGCTGCTTGTGCCCCCGTTAGGGAGATTTACCCTCTCTATTTGTCCTGTTTAAAGTAACCATCAAAAGTGAAAATAGTTGTAAAAGAAGTTCCCAATTTTGTGTTGACCCCAGAACAGTAATAAAGGGGAATTCTTCGAGTAGGGACACTGGATATGGTGACACCCTATGATTCCTTCACTTTTGAAGGATTTCCTCTTACTTCCTGTTTTGGCTTTGGGACAGGAAGTGAAGGAAATCTCTTCTATGGGACACAGGTGTTATTACCCTCCCTTTACTCTCTCCAAAATGACAAACCCCCCACTTGCTGTTGTGTGTATGGAACAGGAAGTGAAGAGAAATCTCCCTAAAAGGATATAGATGGTTATTACCCCTCCTTACTGTATCCACAATGGAAAAAAAAAAAGAGTTTTTGCCTTTAGTTCTACTTTAATAATAGTGACTATACTCTACATTAATACTACATTACTCTAGACCAGGGGTGTCAAACCGGCTGCCCTCCAGCTGTTGTGAAAATACAAGTCCCATCATGCCACTGCCTTTGGGAGTCATGCTTGTAACTGTCAATCTTGCAATGCCTCATGGGACTTGTAGTTTGGCAACAGCTGGAGGGCCACCAGTTTGACACCCGTGCTCTGGACTAAAATGTATGTTCCATATGGGGAGCGAACGAGTGAGAACCATAATAAGTGAGCTGACCAGGCAAACATCTAGAATTACCTCTCCATACACATTCAGTCAATTTTACATGCATTAGCTCTTCCCACTGAAGTCAGCTGCTATATATATTAACCACTTCTCGACCGCTGTATAGCAGATATACTACTACAAGGCAGCATGGGTGCGCAAAATCACGTATATATATATATGTGATTTTTAATTTCCTGTTATGGGGCGCTGCCATTCACGCTACCCACGTCACCATTCACTTCCGCGGCTGTCAGTCCCCGGATCCTGGCTGGTGATTACTCGCTGGCGCCCAGGGATTGCCAAGCATCTCCGTCGGGGAGGAGAACTGTTTGTAAACAAAACAGTTCACCGTGTCAGCTCGTGCACACTGCTTTGAATGGCTGTGCCATGCAAAGAAATGTGCTTACAGTGAATCACATGGACACAGCACTATGTAAAAAAGCACTATGTAAAACAGCACACAGTTAACCCTTTGATTGCCCCTCATGTTAACCCCTTCCTGCCCAGTGCCATTAATACAGTGTCAGTGCTTTTTTTTAGCACTGATCACCGTATTGGTGTCACCGGGGATGTCAGTGACACCAAGTCAGTTCCTCCCGAGTGTCAGAATGCCTGCCACAGTCCTACTAAAAGTCATTGATTGCCACCATTACTAGTAATGATGAAAAAAAAAATCCAAGTATCTATACCGTCATTTGTAAATGCTATAACTTTCACACAAACCAATAATTTACACAGATTGGGATTTTTTGTTAGCAAAGACATGTAACAGAATACAATTTGGTCTAAATTTTTGATGAACTTAGATTTTTTTTATTTTTTTTTTTACTGGATATGTTTAATAGCAAAAAGTCAAAAATATTTTTTTTTCTCAAAATTGTCAGTCTTTTTTTTAATATAGTGCAAACAATTAAAAATGCACAGGCGATCAAATACCACCGAAAGAAAGCTCAGAAAGAAAGGACATAAATGTAATTTGGGTGCAGCGTTGCATGACCATGCAATTGTCAGTTAAAGTAACGCAGCACTGCAACACAAAAAAAAATGGCCTGATCAGGAAGGGGGGGAGGAATCTTCAGGAGTGCAAGTGGTTAAAGGATAAGTTCACCTTTTGGACAAAAATAATAAATGCACATTTTTTGCAGGTATAAAATGTGCATTTATTATTTTTTTCTACAGGAAAGCATTGCACCAAGGATCAGTAGATGGCTGATGCCATGCAGGTCTCCTGCAGACCTGTCAGAATATCTGCTTGCCATACGGGATGTACAGTCAAGCAGATATACTGACAGGAAGCTTCCATGAACTACCACGGCGCTCCACAGCACTGTTGTAGTTCATTGAAATTTACAAGCCGACAGCCACTAAGACTTGTAGACACTCATTCACAGAACACTGCGAATGAGTGACGCGGCCATGTAGGCGGAGTCCACATGGCCGCGCTGTTTTCAAATATGACAAATAGCACAGGGAAACCTCTCCCCATACTATCTGTTAGAGAGAGGGGTGTGGCAGGCGCTGCTGCGGCTATGGGAACATGTTACATGTTCCACCCTAAAAACGGGTGGAACATGTAACATGTTCCAAAGGTGAACGTATCCTTTATGGTTGCTGGTTGCAGAGGGATAACATAAAACAGGAAATTTCTTAAAGATTAAGGAGTGCTAAAGATGAAATGGAATTAGCTTTGTCTTCCATTTTAGAAAACATCTACTCAAAGGTCAATGAAATTAGTACCAGTGCATCATATTGTCAATACAAAGAAGAAACAGACAACCCATCAGTCATCCATAAAGGAGGAAGGAACCTCAATGATAGATGAATCCCATGGTCTAATGTTTCCTTTGCGGTGCCCAGACCCACACTTCATACACAGTCCTTCCTTCAAAGATGGATGACCCACATCTGTTGCCCATTCAAGCAGCTTTATTTGCCACAAGAAATTATCCCCGTGAAAGCTGACAACTCGCAGATCCCAGCAGTCATTCAAAGAACTTGAAGGAACTGAGACATTCACCCAGGAAAGCTTCCCCTATTAAGGGAAAAGAAAATATAGTTTACCTTTAAGGACATCTCCTTCCAAAAGTGCTAGTTAGATGGCTACCATGCTGATCCAGGTTCTTCAATACGTCCTGTGAAACGGACCAGGAACAAGTATGCAAATCAAGAGTGTGGTATTTTCTGAATCTGTGATCTGGAACAAGCATGCAGAATGAAAAGTCTGATTTTCTAAGCCAGTGGTCTCCAAACTGTGGCCCCGGGGCCGGATGTGGCCCTTTGCACACCTTTATCTGGCCCTCGAGGCACTTTTCCTCCTACTGATATAAGACACTATTCCTTTGCTCCCACCAGCAATGGGGCATAATTACTGCTACTGATATCAACAATGAGGTACTATTTCTCTCACTGACACCAGCAATGGGGCACTATTCCTCTCACTGACACCAACAATAGGACACTATTCCTGCCACTGACACCGATAATGGGGCACTATTCCCGCCATTGACACCAATGATGGGGCACTATTCCCGCCATTGACACCAATGATGGGGCACTATTCCCCCCACTGACACCAACAATAGGACACTATTCCTCCCACTGACACCAATGATGACACACTATTCCTGCCACCGACACAAACGATTTGGCACTATTTCCGTTAATGACACCAACAATAGGACACTATTCCTCAAACTGACACCAATGATGCGGTACTGTTCCTCCCACTGACACAACTGGGCACTGTTCCTCCCGCTGACACCGACAATTGGGCACTATTCCTCCACCTTACACCAATGAAGGGGCACTATTTTTCCCTGTAATACCAATGATGCATTATTTACTCCCACTGATTTCTACTCCCAATGGCCACAGTCCGGCCCCCCGAAGTCTTATGAACAGTAAACTGGCACTATGTTTACAAAGTTTGGAGACCCCTGTTCTACTCTAATGTTTCTTGGGAGGGGGGCATTAACCACTTGCTTAGCGCCCTATAGCAGATATACTGATACAGGGTGGCCACTCTACAAAAAATCACATATACAGGTGAAACTCGAAAAATTAGAATATCGTGCAAAAGTTCATTTATTTCAGTAATGCAGCTTAAAAGGTGAAACTAATATATGAGAGACTCATTACATGCAAAGCAAGATAGTTCAAGCCGTGATTTGTCATAAGTGTGATGATTATGGCTTACAGCTCATGAAAACCCCAAATCCACAATCTCAGAAAATTAGAATATTGTGAAAAGGTGCAATATTCTAGGCCAGTGGTGGGCAACCTTTTTATTCAACTGAGCCAAATCTCGCCAAAACCACGATTGAAATTTATTTTGAGAGCCACATTTTTAAAACTGAAAATACATAGGATGGTACACTGTTTTTAGTTTCAATAAGTTTTTATAGTAATTCAGTCCCCCCATAGTAATTCATCCCCCATAGTAATTCATCCCCCATATAGTAATTCATCCCCCATAGTAATTCATCCCCCATAGTAATTCATTCCCCATATAGTAATTCATCCCCCATAGTAATTCATCCCCCATATAGTAATTCAGTAATCCCCCCATATAGTAATTCATCCCCCATAGTAATTCATCCCCCATAGTAATTCATCCCCCATATAGTAATTCATCCCCCATAGTAATTCATCCCCCATATAGTAATTCATTCCCCATATAGTAATTCATCCCCCATAGTAATTCATCCCCCATATAGTAATTCATCCCCCATAGTAATTCATCCCCCATATAGTAATTCATCCCCATAGTAATTCATTCCCCCCATATAGTAATTCATCCCCCATAGTAATTAGTATCATCCCCATATAGTAATTCATCCCCCATAGTAATT